TGATTAAGGACCTGAAAAAACGCAGTTGCATGGCAGTTGTTTATACATGTGCTGGAGAGCTCACTGTTTGCATTTTCTTCAGGTGCAATGGATGCTCACGAAGCCACCTTCTTCCACCTAACTGTGTCCCCCCCATCTTTCAGTTTGGCTGAACAGAGAGCAGGATCCAACCCTCCTATACTTTGAATTCAAATGGGTTGAACTGGTAAAGCAGTGTTTCTCAACCTTGGCCACTTGAAGATGTGTGGACTTCAACTCCCAGAATTCCCCAGCCAGCTTCAAGTGGCCAAGGTTGAGAAACACTGACCTAAAGACTTGCAGCTCTCCAAAGGGGGTGGGGGGAGGATTTAATATGGTCTTCACAAGGGAGTTCAGTGAACATCCATGGACAATAAGCATGAAGGGTATTCAATTCAATCAAACATTCTCAGTGATTTCACTCAGTCTTTCTCCCAGCTTCTTCAATCCTGTCCTTAACCTTTGGGGGGGTCTATTCGCCCCCACCGTGCTACTCCAAGCTCAAGCTGCAGCCTTTGACCCCAACATGGGGGCCCTAAGTTTTGGGGGTCTATTCGCCCCCACCGTGCTACTCCAAGCTCAAGCTGCAGCCTTTGACCCCAACATGGGGGCCCTAAGTTTTGGGGGTCTATTCGCTCCCACCATGCTACTCCAAGCTCAAGCTGCAGCCTTTGATCCCAACATGGGGGCCCTAAGTTTTAATCGCGCCTCCCGGAGGCAGGCCCTGAGGTCCATCCTGCCAATGCTTTTCCATCTGCTGCTGGGCATCCTCAACGCCCCCCCCGGGGGTCTTTCTCATTCCAAATATTACCACGTTTTGCAGTTACTAGGGACTATGAACTTCTTTTCCCGATTACGATCTTCGCAGGTCAAAGAGATCACCTTCTTGAAGAACACCGTGATGGAGTGCGATGCCTGCGGTGAGTCACGTCGAAAAGTGTGGGTGCTGGTTTTAACACTCATGTTTGAATTAGATGATTCAGACCAGAGATCTTAAATTAAAGAGATATTAAACCTTGAAGTGAGAAAAGATCCAGCAGCCAGACCAGTTGAGGATCAGAAACAGAGGCTGTGGATCACTTTTTCCTGAATGGGGTCTTGCCCATCGGCCCCCAAATCCTGCTTTGACAATACAACCCCTGCCAGCGAGGTTAAATAATTAAATAAAATAATAATTAAATAATTACTATTCATTGTCAGTCAGTTTATTAGTCTTCGACCGGTACAAGACGTTGGTCCCTAGTGATCTGGGAGCACTTATCCACCTATCTTAAGCAATCAGTAAATAAAATTGGAGACAAAATTCAAATTCTTCTGTAAAACAGAGGACTAGAACCCGTGAGTAAAGTCCAAAAGAAGCAATAAGTCTAGGTTATAAGCAAAGTAGTATCTAAAATTACATCAAAAGTGATCACAAGCAAAAAGCATGCTGGAGTGCTCTTCCTATGAGCTGAGATTGTGCCCCTTGAGGACAAGGGGCTACTGAAACCACAGCACACATCTTGCTATACTGTATTTTCTATAAGGACTCACGGACCCATTTCATAACTTCTCATCTGGTAAAATATCCTGGAAATTCGGATCTTTTTTACGTGCAGGTGTTGTCGTCTGATCAGAATGATTCCGTTTCCTTGAACGTAGCTAAAGCGTGTTATACTGTTTGTAAAATTAGGCAGACTTTGACTGCCCATTGATGATCCCACCAATCTGTAAATATATTATCGTGTTTTCCTTTACGTATTTCATTTTTAATGCATTTTAATGAATTTTTTTAACGTATTTTTATTTGTAATTCTGGTCTGTGACCGTAATACATATGATGAGTATTCTAAAAGTGCAAACGTGTGAGGATATCTAAAATAACATAACATTTAATAATAGGTAAAATTATGTAAAGGGCATCTGTGTAGCAGGAGCTTGGCCTATCGAGGTCGGGCGGATCTTACATGTTGGAATAAATGGCAACTTCTTTGTAGAAGCATCTGGTCGCAGGCTGAGTCCGAGTGAACAGGGTATCTGCTGATCCAGTGTTTCTCAACCTTGGCAACTTGAAGACGTGTGGACTCCAACTCCCAGAATTCCCCAGCCAGCAATGCTGGCTGGG